AAAAGAGACAATTATTTAAAGCTCAGTATACAACTATCTTAACCAATAGTGTAACGAAGTTTTGTAAATACACTTAATTTGTTTCGAATATATTATTTTAAAACAAGTTTATTGTGTGCTGTCCGTTTATTGTAAAGCATCCCGGCCTTATAAAAACCTGACAAAGTTTAATATTGTTACATCTCCGTTTGTTAATTGATTTTCCGTAACTTCGTTCCGACGAAACTTAAGCGACACAAGTCCTTTCTTAATAAAACTGGTTTATTCTTTCCGAATATAACTTTACCGATACACTCAACTTCAACAATCGCGCTAAAACAAACGCTATATTAACGAACGTCAATAATACTTCTGACTGCAGATCACTTACACAATATCTATACACACATTACATCCCGCGTCACGTTGTCCCCCTCTTATATATACCCGACCACCCTATATCCAGTAAATACTAGATTATTCGCCAAAGTACATGATAGTTCTAGAAACGTTGCGTCACAGTAGTCATGTGACTCGCTGACGCAAAAGTATAAACTCGACATTTAACACACAATGGGAAAGTATTTAACGTAAACAAACAACGATTTCACAAACTATCTGCAATAGCAAATGTGCTTGAAGTATAAAGAATTTAATCGATGGATTTTAAGCTGCATGAGTTCTATCGCTTGGATTTGTAAATACAGTCCATATGTACGAACGAACAAATGTAGCTGTCTGTTGTGTCTATACAAAAAGTTGTATAAAGGTCACACAGGGCTGACGAGAGAGGGGGGGGGGCAAAGGGACAGCTACCCCGGGGCCTGGCAGTGGGATATTCCAAAGCTCACCAAAAATGCGTACTACTTATGAGCTAAAATGGTTACTGCTTTTTCATGGATTCATGGAGAAATTTATCACCTAAATTTCTTTTATGAAAAATCAGCAAAAGTTAATAAATAAAATGAAAGGGTGGGGAGCGATGATATTACTGACCTCGGACCTGAGGTCACGTGAGTCAGTTTAAATAAAATAATAGCCGATCAACTAAACAAATGAATATTTGATCAACTACGTGGGGGAGAAGTAAACTTTATAAATCAAATAATCTCGTTTTGGATTAAACAAAACATTTTTCCAAACGTTTTAATTTTGTACATATTAAAATACGAACGTATGCATTTATAGTTACTAAAATAAACTAAAACTATAAACGAACGTGCAACATGCATAAATTAAACTTTAAATCATGCGTTCGATGTAGGCTAACATAAAATTAATACATAAAATATGTATAGACGAAAAACGAAGTTTCTTGTCCAGAATTCTTAATCTGATGAGCTAATGTTCCTTCAATATCCTACGAACTTTGAACTATAACTCACATCACAGAAGTTTAAACCACTTGCCTGACCAGATACTTTTACATTTAAGTATCTCTTATGTGTCATGAAAAGAATCAGTGATGCTTTTATTTGTATGTGATTTTTGAGCTGTTTTATTGTTTTATATCAAAAAAGGTTTCGAAAATCACCACTATTTTTTTTTAATTTTAACCGTGTGACATGAGCTCTTTATGTCTTAGCACAAAAAGTTGCACTGATCAGATATCTAAAAAATATATTGTATTTGTATTTTCAAGTAAACTGAAACATTTTTAAAAAACAAATTGTAAAAAGTAGATGTGATCAAATTAAATGCTACCTTTTAACAAAACATAAAATGGTAAGTGTTGCATTTTACTTAATTTATATAATAGAAAAAAAATCTGTTTTGAAAATGTTATTTTTGTAATTTCATTTGTTTTACAGAAAATCATCCGGTATTTATCTCTTTAATTAAGATATACATTATCCGATCAAACAGTGCCATTTGACAAAATATAAAGTTTTGCTATATATTTCACTTAGTTAATAAAAACAAATCTGTTTTTGGATTTTTGTTTGTTTGCTGTTAAGGCCATAGCTGTACAATAGGCTATCTGTGCTATGCCCACTACAGGTATCGAAACCCGGGTTTTAACGTTATAAGCCTTTAGACTTACTACTGAGCCACTGTGGACTAGACCAAAGTGAAAACGGTTAACCATCAGCATTTGTAATCAAATGGCTAGAGTTGGCAGCCATTATTATAACACATCCACGGCCTAAAGTGTGGAATGCAACTTTGAGGCAACGTGATGCGAACCACAAATCCTCAGAATGTCCTCTCTTATCACTTAGTCACGCCCGGGGTAAGATGCGAGGATTCTGTCATTACAATATGCATGTTCTGCACAATAGTGAGTGATATTTTAATGTCGTGTTCATACTAGACATTTCATCCATAACAAATCAGATAATGTCGGATGTAGAATTAAGTATGAACGTACTATTTCTGCCATTTTTCCTGATTAAATTTACTATAAAGATCAGAAAGCTAATTCGGCAGATTTGTTAGATTAGTGTTCCATCACAAGCATTTGTGTCTGACCAACTATAGTGTGAACAATTTTCTTATTTTGCTACAGGATATTCCATTATGTTTGAAAACCTCGCGAAATCTTGTTTATTAGACACTGTAAAAAATATTCATTTTTTGATAACACGTACCTTTGTATAGCCATATTTCGTTTTGACCATGAATAACACGTGAATCATGTACAAGAACAATTTGAAAAGTGAGTGTAAAGACGTCGTGTGAACAAACTTTCATAATTTTCTCTGCACAGCTCGTAATCGAGCTTCACATACTCGTTGCCACTGCAACATTTGTCTTGCATGTTTTTATTGTGAGCACTTATATTCTTTTTAAAACATGCATTAAAAGAGAGAGAGAGAGAGAGACAAAAGGACGTGTAAACTTTTTCAACCGTATCGACGTGCGCCATTTTACGATCTCGCAAGATGTCAAAGTCACATGAATATTAGGGAAAGCCATCTGGTGTACTATTTTGGCACTCAAAATCAATGTTTCGGTACAGTGTTGAAAGGGAGCGAATTAAAATTCTTAAAATATCTGCCGAGTTTTATGCGGAACAGTTATTCCAGATTAGTAATGTGAACACGCGTAAGTTACATTATTTCTTTTAATATCGTTTAAACATTTAAATCGTGTTAATATTTCTCCATTATTATTTTTAGGTAAAAAACATACAATTTCATTCCATTAGGTTGAATATTAAGGCCCTCTGAGCCTATTACATAAAAGTATTGAAGATGCAAAATAGATAATTGGCTTTATCTAGATAATGCATATTTTCATTTGATTATTATTATCAGTATATTTTGATAATCCTTAAATGTATCTTATTGTTTTGGATATTTTTGTTTTGTATTTTAGGTTATAGTGCTCTTCTCGCAATCTGTGGGTCGCGGGTTTGTTAAAACGTTGTACATTTGTAATAAAATTTCTTTCACTACCTATTCAAGCCGTCTCCAAACTTTATTTTCTAAAAACTGAGTTCTTCGTCACCAAATTTCAATCTTGGGTTTCCATTCGACGCGGATTTGAAATTGCCGAATTGTCTGCCTGGATGAGTATTTGGTCGTTGTGCGCAAACTGGGAGTGTCAGGTTCTGTTCAGACCTCTTCCTCCTTCCTTCACCATTGTATATTAAACTGTCAAACGCTATAAAATATTTACGAAATCAAGTCTTGAACACTATGTTAAGCACTGACTCTACTTCCTTCTTCAGATTCTTGTCCATAAATAGAATGCTTATAGCATTTAGTGCTAATTTACTACTCTTCATTTGATCATTTACACTCACAAACACTTCCATAGTAAAATGCTTTTTTTTTTCTCTTGAAGTCGTTTCTAGATGCATATTTCACATATAATACTCTTTTTAAATATACTTGTGATAGGTAAAACTAAGCGATATATTATAGTCTTGTACAGGTGGACTTTTTCTTGTAGTAAATATTAAGTTGAGAGAGATACTTAGGACTATCATCATCATGTATGATATAGCAATCTATTGAGGTTAGTGAGTCGTTTTCATATAAATCTTTATCGAAATATTTTAAGGAGCAGTCTATGAGTCTGTCGTGGATTGGTTTTATATATGCGTATTTATGCATGAATTTTAGGTTTGTTGCTCTGGGTACTCTGAAAGCTGTGGTAATTACTGCATTTTGTATAGTCTGTAATTTCTTAATATGTTGGTGCTACATTAGTCCCAGCAGAACAGGTATATTCTACTACTGCTGGTCGTATGTATTGTTACTTATCTGCTTGTTTGATAATTTCCGGTATAAATTCTTTCCGAGAAACTTCGGCGATACAAGTCCTTTCTTGATTAATCCAGTTTATTCTTCCTCAATACAACTTTTAGTAATACACAGACTTTCCAATCAGTACGTTAAACTTAACTACTTATATAACACACGCTATAAATCACAGTGATTCACACACTTTACTTATGATGCCTACTGTTCGCTTGACACAATTATCTATATCTTCAATCTATCTGCCGATCGCGCTGGTTTTTCTCGCCAGGCTTATATATTAAAAAGAGGGTGTCTCGAATGCACTCGGGCCTTCATGATCCTTCGAGAAACTCCAGCACGCATGCTCCCAGCGTCGCGTGACTTCCGCTGTCGTAAAAAATATTATTTACGATTCTTCAAGGATGTTTTCTGTGTTTTTACAAGACAGTATCTTGGTATATTGTTGTCCTTGCCATATTATGTTTCTGATTGGATTTTTCCAAGTTAACATTGAATCATATGTCACTCCAAGAAATTTTGCTGATGTGACGACATGTAAATAGTAAAAGAGTTACGTGCAAGTATATTTCGGAGGGGGGGGGGATTCTAAGCGTTTTTTGTTGATTTTGAAAATAGAATTAGGTTAGTTTTGGAACATGTATTTTTATTCTATGTTTTTGATAATACTTGACAATTTGATTTAGAACTGACTGCAAGTTTGTAGCTGCAATCGAAGGGGTCGTGGAACTCTTCCATATCGCCACATGGTCTGCATATTGTGAGGTTAGGCTAAAATTTGGATCTTCTAATGGTATATCGCTTACATACTTGATGAAAAGGATAGGGTTAACTACCTCTCCTTGGGGAACACCTGCCTCCAGAGTAAAATACTCCGAGTAGATGCCCTCCATGTTCACTCGATATTTGCTATTATCTAAAAAGTTAGACAACCAGTGAATAATACTTGTCGATAAATCAATTTGTTTCATTTTGTATCTTAAGCCATTATGCCATACAATGTTGAATGCTTTCTTTATATCGAGAAAGCAGGCGACAGTGCATTTATTTTGGTTAAAACTATCTATTATGGTTTCACTAATCTAAATAAATGATTTGATGTTTGTCAAAATTTTCTCAAACCATTTTGAACTTCAGGTAATTTTGATGAGATACCCAGAAAAGTGGACAGCCTATTTCTAGTTGTTCTTTCTAAAATTTTTCGTACACAAATAGTCAAACTGATTGGTCGGTAGCTTCCCGGTTTATTTGCTGGTTTGCCTTCCTTTAAGAACATAGGAACTTTGCTTGCTTTCAAAAGGCTGGGATATAACTAGAGTTTAAGGATAAATTAAATAATGCTGTTGGGTGGTCAAACAATTTCTGAGTACCCTTTTTGAGGAGAATGATTGGTATACAATCCTCACCTGGAGCTTTATTTTTGTATGATTTATAGATGTAATTACTTTTATTTTAGTTATTATGTTTATAATTTGGCTTTCATAATCATTATTACATTTTTGTGAATTTTGTAGATTAATAGAAACAGCTGGGAAATTTGGTGTGTTGATGTGTTAAATTTGTTTAATGTACTAATTTACTGTGTTAAAATAGTTTGTATCCATATGTAGTTTATTATACGTTTTAAATGTATTTATTAATTGTTCTTTTAAAACTTCTGTTTTCTGTGTGTTTGTATACGATATTTTATTTTCGTGATTTAAGATCGGATAAGTTTTGTACTGTTTTGATTGTTCTTTTAAAACTTCTGTTTTCTGTGTGTTTGTATACGATATTTTATTTTCGTGATTTAAGATCGGATAAGTTTTGTACTGTTTTGATTGTTAGTGAATTGTTTCATAGTGTCTAAAATTTCCTTGGGTCTGTGTGTTCGTTTAAAATTGCGAGTAAAAAATGTCCCACTTGTCTTATTTAAATTGCTTTATTTCATTTCCAAATTTTGTTTCTTAGTATATTAATCTGAGTTTTGATGAACGGATCTCTAATATTCATATATTGTCTTTTTAGGTGGCGACTTTCTTTTATCGTGTTTATCATTTGTGTGTGTTGTTGCCATTTGTGTATGTTTTTTTTTTTTTGTATAGTTTGTTCTGCAGCTTTGGTAAAGCACTCAGTAATTCTTTAACAACAGTCATCAATATCTGATGATTTCTTGGATAGATTTATTGTTGATTCTGATAATAATTGATCTAATAATTTTGCATATTCTTCCCAATTTGCTTTTTTATAATCAAATTTTCCTTTTCTTATATGTTTATCATGATGAAGTTCGAGATAAAAGACATGTTATTGATAAGTGATCACTGTCTAAATCAAATCCCACATTGATATATAAGCACTTATTTATTACTAATTTGTGATGAGCTTATACGAAAATCCAAGATATTATGCGAGATACTTGTGTGTGTAGGAGTGGTATCATTTAACAACACATTGTCACTATTTTCTAAAAATTCCAGTAACTTCCTTCCGTTTTGTTTAGTTTCATTACATCCAAAATCTTTATGTTTGCTACTAACGTCTCCTATTATTATTATTATTATGCTTTTACTATATTGATTTAACTTATTTAATAAATTCATATATATTGTTTTAGATGGAGAACAATATATTCCTGCTATTGTAATACAATTATCATTTAAGAGATGGATATATATATTATTATACATTCATTTGTTGATTCAATCCTTATCTGTGTCACCGATGGGGTTGATTAATATATTACTACAGTTCTCCTGTTTGGGTCATTTCTGTTGAGTCTGTCTATTCTAATTGAAGTACATTCAATACATTTAAGAGAATTCTTATTGTTTAGCATATGTTCAGTTATAACCAATACATCAGTATTTGTTTCTGTTATTTGTTTTGTTTTTGTTTGTTTTGTTTTGAATTTCGCGCAAAGCTACACGAGGGCTATCTGCGCTAGCCGTC